CGGTATTGAGGATGTTACAACTACGCCACAGTTGAATAGCGGTTGTTGCGTCCCATTATCGGTACAATCATCCGTTTCCCGTTAAATTACGGACACAATCGACTAAGATTTGTGTGAATCCGTGACCCATCGCAAAAACCAATAAAAATTGATTTCAGACGGTGGCGCAACCGCAATATCACGGCCGCTATCACATTTTCGGAACGTAATAATTTCATTTTTAATGGGCAGGTGAGGTCGGCATTGAAAATAATCCAATCAGCAGGGACACACCATTAAAACCAGCAGCGGAAACAAACGACCACAGGGGCCTAAGCAAAGCGTAAGGCTCCATTGGAAACCACCGAGAGCTGGTGTAGTCAAACTTAACACGGACGGAGCAGCTAACATAAGAACCAACGCAGCCACTGCCGGAGGCGTTCTTAGAGATAATAATGGACAATGGTTAGGTGGATTTCATCGTGAAATTGGTTGCTTTTCAGCTTTTCAAGCTAAGTTGTGGGGGACGGCTTAAATCTGGCGTGGAACAGTGGATACAAAGAAATTGAAGTGGGGTTTGATAATGAAGAAGTGGTGGATATAATTCGTGATGGTCCACACATGTACGAGTCCTCAATTATCCGTAGAATCCGAAAGATCCTTCGAAACCAATAGACAGTGAATCTCTAATATGTTAGACGAGAAGAAAATGGAGCAGCCGACGCCATAGCTCACCTCGATGGAAATGATAGCCTGGGACTTACGGTTTTTCAAGCAGCCCCCACTGCCCTGCAGCATACTCAACTTAGAGAGAACAGATCGTTTTTAGTTTTCTTCACACCGCTTTGACAGTGTTCATTTGTTACCCAAAAAAAAAAAAAATTAAATGATATTCGAACTCGGGTGTGAGTGTTGAACGGAATTCCTCCGCCCCCACATTGTGCCCCTAACAATGCACCATCTATGATTTTGAGACACGTAAGTTACTTTAATAGCTTTTGTTTCATTGATTTCACGATTAACGGCTAAGTGCTGTTATTCTTAGAAGTGTCATTTTTTTAAAAAAAAAATTCTTAAGTAAAAATTGTGTATATTTTTATAATATTTTTATTACTAATTTTTATAATAATTTAAATGCAATACTATTATATTATAAAAAAATAAAATAAACTATATATTTAGTCACTCAATTATTACTTTGGTTATATTTTGATCACCAACTAATTTTTTTTAATATCATACCTAAAATTATGATTTGATCATCCACCGATAAAATATTAATAGTGATATTGATGTATCTAACATAAGTACTTAAATTTTTTATTTTTCTTAGAAGTGCCATTATTTTTTATCTTTCTTAAGATAAAAAATATTATTTGTATAAGACTTAATATAAAAAGATTGTTCAAATTATATCTCTTTTCTCATTTAGGTGTTTGATAATTTTTGGTAAATGTAGGTGTCTAACGTTGTTAATATTATCATTTTAAGTTTATCGACCATAATAAATGTTACAAAATCCATTGAAAACTAGTCAACCGCTCAAAACGTGACACAAGACATGTTTATATTTTTTAAAAAAAATTATTTAAAAAACTTAAATTATTATTATTTAAAAAACTCAAAAATTTAAAAAAATTTAAAAAAAGTCCCAAAATCCTTAATCCCAAATCATCAACTCCACTCGGTGGTCGTCCCTTGTCAGACATCTATCCACCCATTGTCATTCATCACTAGTAGTCTCAATCCTCAAAATTCACAAATATAAATCCCAAGACACATCCATCTCAATCGACACGTGAGTGGTCAATGGAGACACATCAACATCATCGTTAAGAAATGAACAAAAATGTTGATGTGGTAATTTCTTTTACTTTTTAACGATGATGTGACATTATCTTATGGAGACATGTCAATATCATCTTTAATTTTTAATAGCGGGTAACCAATATGTAACTTTAGGTATAGTATTAAAAAATATTAGGTGATCAAAACAAAACAAGAGTGATAGTAAAGTGACTTAATATATAGTTTACCCTAAACTTTTTTGTAATATATATATATATATATATATATATATATTAATCTGAGGTAAGTACAATGCAATATATGTTTAAAGATAACTCTTAACTATTTAACATTAAACATTTACACCATTGACATTCATGGTGCTTGAACTCAAGACCTTAAAGAATAACAATCATTTTTTTATCATCAAAGTCACTGGTTCATACAAAAATATATATATTATTTGTCTTAAGAAAAATTAAAAATAACGACTCTTCTTTTTAGTAAAAAAAAACAATAATAATAACGACACTTATAAGAATAACGGCACTTAGCCGTTAATCGTGAAATCAATGGGAACAAAACTTATTAAAGTAACTTACGTATCACGTAATTTTCAGGGTTATTTTATGTATTTGGAGGGTCCTTGACATGTTATATCCTCGTATCCTTGCTAAAAAATATATCGGAGGGACATTAGATTTTACGTTAAAAGATCAAATTTATAAAATTTTAGAGGGTCAATCGCCCGTCAACCTCTCTTGATCTATCCCTGTTTAGAAATTCTTCTATTTGCAAATTCGAAACTTCCATCGCATGAAAAAGGAAATTGAGACTTCCATTGTCGATGTTTCCAAAACTGCAGGTCTAACTTGTTAAGTTGTTCATCAGTCTTTGCATAAACTACATGGCAGCTTATATTTGGACATAGTTTAGCAATTGACATGGTTTGATCTTAGTTATAGTAAAACATTTGGTTAATTTCTTTCCTTCATAGCTTCTGTACGGTATTTATAGGAATATAATACCGTATGATACGATACTTTTTAAGTATTTTCCTCTGAATGTACGAAATTTTTTTAACAAAATAAATGTATTTTTGTCGAGCATATGCTTATATGATTTTTTTTACTAACGATAGTATCAAATAATAAGCCATCGAAATATGTTCACTTTGTTGTTTAAGCCAACAACGTTGGATGAATCATATAAAACTAGTGATGAAAAAGATGGTTTGGCGAATATTTCAATTTAGTTATAAATTAATAATGATTTTGAATGTATTTGCTTGAAATTATATGTGTTTGAATAATCATTATAATTAGAGATGCTGCCTTTCAACCAACAAGTGCTTTCTGATGGAGATAGAGTGGTGTCTGGAGGAGGATCGTGGGTTGCATTCGTTGACAATCTTAGTAGGAGAGTGCATAGGAGGGTATTGTGGGATCGTTTTAGCCGTTTTGGTAAGGTGATTAAAGTTTTTATTCCGTTTGTTAATAGCAGACCCAACTACAAGGACAAGACGTTTGCCTTTGTGCATTTTGCGAGTAAGGAGGATTTGATTACTGCTAAGGAGAAGATGAACAACGTCCTTGTTGATGGGAGGAGAATATTAGTGTCATATGCAAAATATCAGAGGAGTAGTGGTCCGAGGAACTTGAATCGCAATAGAGTAGTAGAGGCTGGAGGTGTAGGTGTCGAGGTTTCGAAAAGGAAAAATGCATCTAGCCAAGTGGTTGGGGCTAGGAAGAAGGAGATGATGAACAGGTTCCAGGATGGCAGAACATATAAGGATACGGTAGTAGGTTTGAAAAAAGATGAGGGTCAGCAATCCATAAACCTTGGGGACAGGAGAGAGGAGAAGAAGGACATGGATTTCTTCATTCCATTGGAGGAAAGATCATGGCTGAGGACTTCATTAACAGGTATCGTTAAAGCGATATTTGAGGTTGAGTTTGTGCAAAGGGCATTGAGAACAGAGGGAATCAATGTTAAGGTAGTTAGATGGGGTTATGCGAAAAATGCATGTTTGGTAGTTTTCCGGTCTGTGGAGGAGAAAGAAGCAGCTATAGAAGATAAGTGGGAAGCTTTGTCCTTTTGGTTTGAAAGGTTGGAGCCTGTGATCGAAGAGAAGGGTGTTCCATTACCTTACTGTTCAGTATCCATGATGGGCGTTCCATTAAACTGCTGGTCAGTTTCATTTTTTACTAGTTTGGCATCGAGATGGGGCAAATTAGTGAAGATTAAAGAACAGAGAGCTCAAAGAGTTGATTGCAGGGTGGCTCAGATGTTATTAAGAGTTGAAAGTCCGTTTGACATCCCTCCATATGTCATATTTAATACTCTTGAAGGTCCTTTACTATCAAGATTAAGGTAGACAACAGTGATGATTTCTTCCCTGAGCTTGAAGAAGGGGAAGATGATGAAGGGGTTGATGAAGATGGTTCTCAAGGAGGAACAGTGGTTCCTTGGGAGGAGGATTCGTCAGAGGGGAGCAAAGGGGAGGATCGAGGTGGTCTGCAAGGGCAGTTGAATTCTTAGAAGATGTCAGACTCTAGAAGCAGGGTTGAAGAGTGGGTTCGAGGTTTTTCACAGGGAGGTGGCCCAATGAATGAGGGAAATTTGAAAAATAGCGCTGAAGCCGAGGATAGTTCAAATATTGACCTTTGTAACGAGGGGACAGTACTAGGTGAAGGTTGCAGCAAGCAGACTGTGTCAGGGACTTTTTCTGATGGGAGGAAAAAGGTAGTCAGTTTACAAGGAGACACCTCGGGGAAAGATAAAGTGGTCGATGTGCTTATTTCCAACATGGGTAGGAGGGAAGTATTTGGGCCTGAGCATTTTAGTCCATCAGCAAATAAGAATGGGAATAAGAATGAGGCTTTAATTTCAGATACACAGGTTGGATATGGTATGCAGAATGGGTCTGTGTCTCTATCACAGAGAAGACCTTTTGGGGGGAGTGTATCGGGTATTAATGTCGCAAGTGGATATCATAATAAAGTTTATGCTAGGAGGAGGGCTGCCAAAAGTTGTGATGGTATGGATGATGTTATTGGAGCAGGAGAAAAGAATCAGAGGAGGACAGAAGCAATTGAGTGTTGGAAAGTATCCAATTTATTGGGGGTGAAGTTTAAAGGAGGAGAAAAGGAATTCCTGACCAAAGTTGTTCATTTGGTGAAGGATAGAGATGTTTGAGGGGTGGTAGTTGGTTCAGGGGTTATGGTCATAAAATGCATTTGATGGTAGAATGGTCCATTATGTGTTGGAATGTTAGGGGTCTGGGTAGGAAGGTTAAAGCTCGTGCTATTAGGAGATTTGTAGAGGAGAAAAAACCAACTATCTTATTTTTGCAAGAATCCAAATTGGAAACTGTTAGCACTATGTTAGGCAGGAAAATGGGAGGAAAAATCCTTAATGGTTTGGCAGTTGTGCCTGCTGTAGGTTCGGCTGGTGGTCTAATAACAATGTGGAATCAGAAGGTATTTGTGGTGAAGGAAAAGGTCATATGAACTAGATTTGTGGCGTTAAAGGGTTGGTTGGATGGTATGCCAAACTATTGTTGTTTCATAAATGTCTATGGTCCAAGTGTGGAGGCTGATAAAGAGCCATTTTTCAGGGATTTATTTTCCTTTCTGGAACAGGTGGACTGTCCAGTGTGTTTAGGTGGGGATTTCAATGCCTTTTTGACGCAGGAAGAGAAAAGGGGTGGTGATGTGAATTTGATGTCGATGAATATTTTTCGAGATTTTGTCTCTAAGGCAAATCTAATTGATTTGCCTTTATTGGGAGGTCAGTTCACGTGGTGTAATAATAGAGAAGTTCCCACTTTTGAGAGATTGGATCGGTTTTTAGTTGATAATAGTTTTTTCTCGCAATTCCCAAAGATCAACCAAAATCTGCAGCCTAGGTCCATTTCTGATCATAATATCATTCTGCTGGAGAATAGGGAGTGCAATTGGGGGCCGAAATCGTTTAGACTGTTTAATTATATGTTGGAGGAGGAAGGGTTTAGTGAACTGTTGACAAAAGAACTGTTCAATCTGGGTACACAGGAAAACTCGATACCCATTTCCAAAATTCTTAACCGGGTGAAGGATGTCGCAAAAAATTGGGCTGGTAAGGGTTTTCTTCAATTACCAAGTCAAATCAGAACCTTGGAGTCTGTGATACAGGATATGGAAATGAAATTGCAACAAGGGTCTTCTTTGGTGTCAATGAATTCTATTGTTGAAGCAAAGAGAGAATTATGGGAGTTATAAAAGAAGGAAGAATCAATTTGGATGCAAAAGTCTAGATTGAAATGGAGATTGGAGGGGGATAAGAACACAAGGTTTTTCCATCATAGTGCAGCAATTAGAGGGAGGATAAACTACATAAAAGCTATCAAAGTTGATGGTGAAGTTATTGAAGACCCTAGGTCAATTAAAGCTTCAGTGGTGGAGTTTTTCAAGAGGTTGTATAATCAAACAAACACCCTGGAGGCAGAGGAATTAAATCTGGATTTTCTCAAGCTGTCCGAAGGTCAGTGTTTAGCTTTGGAGAAGTCTTTTTCTGAAGAGGATGTTTGGGAAGCTATTGCTCATTCGGATATCAACAAAGCTCCGGGTCCGGATGGTCTGAACTTAGGGTTTTTTAAGAAGTTCTGGGCTAAATTGAAGGATGATATGATGCGGTTTTTTAGGGATTTCTATGTGGGGAAGGTATGGGAGCCGGAGGTGAACTTTTCCTTCATTTCTCTTATTCCAAAGAAGGCAAATCCGGAGGGATTGGAAGAGTTTAGGCTAATTAGCCTAGTGGGAGGTCTTTATAAAGTCATCTCTAAGGTCTTAGCTAGAAGATTGAGTTTGTATCTCAATGATATTATAAGTCAGTCCTAATTTGCTTTTATTCCGGGGAGAAACATCTTGGATTGCTCTTTTATTGCAAATGAGAGTATTGATTTTTGGAGGAAGAGAGGGCTGAAGGGAGTAGTTTTCAAGGTGGATTTTATGAGAGCTTATGATTCGGTAGATTGGAAAATTTTGATTCAAATTATGAGCAAAATGGGGTTTGGTGAAAAGTGGAGGTCGTGGATGTTCCAGTGCATGTCAACTGCTGAGATTTCGGTTTTGTTAAATGGGTCTCCTACGGAGAAATTTTATATTTCCAGAGGTCTGAGACAGGGTTGTTCACTTTCACCTATGCTTTTCAACTTGGCTACTGAGTTGCTGCATTTACTGTTAACTAAAGCAGTGGATATGGGATTATTTTCGGGGCTTGATTTAGGACTGCAGGACCGAGCATTCAAGCTGTCACACCTTCAATTTGCGGATGATCTTATAATTTTCAGTAAAGGTTTCATTCGTGAGTTGAGGAATATTAGAAGAGTGTTACTGATTTATGAACTTCTGGTGGGGCTGAAGTTAAATCTAGGTAAAAGCAGGATTTTTGGAATCAATGTTGAAGATGGGGAGCTAACTAATTGGGCTGAAGTTATTGGCTGCTCAGTTGGATATCTTCCATCTGAATATTTAGGTCTGCCTCTGGGGTTCAAGAGGAATTCGGCTGCTATGTGGGATCCTATAGTGGCGAGATTTCATGCTAAATTGAGTGGTTGGATAGCTAATTCTCTGTCGATAGCGGGAAGAGTGGTTTTGGTCAAATCGGTGCTATGCTCTCTTCCGGTCTATTTTCTGTCTATGTTCAGAATCCCAGTTGCTGTGATACTTAAACTTAACTCTATCATGGCTTCATTTCTGTGGGGGGATTCGATTGACAAGAAAAAAATCCATTGGGTCAACTGGAAGTCAGTCTCTAAACCAAGAAATCTGGGGGGTCTAGGGGTCCCTAATCTAGCACTTTTAAACCGAGCTTTACTAGGAAAATGGGTTTAGAAGTTTTCTTCTGATAAGAAATCTTGGTGGAAGAAAGTGATTTGTGCCGCCTACAATTTGGATCCGAAGTCCATTATTTTGGAGAATTCGGTGCCAGCTCGTGCATCGTGGATTTGGAAAGGTGTGGTGAAAAACTTCTTCAACAGTGATGATTTTGGAGAGTGTCTTAAAAGGAATATGCGTTTGAAGGTGGGGAAAGGGGAATATGTGCAGTTCTGGAATGATGTATGGTTGGGTGATGTTCCCCTGAAATTGTTGTTTCCTAGACTTTATGTTCTATCAATTAATAAATCGGGTAAAGTGAAGGAGTTTAGGGTAAATAATGCTTCGGGTTGGGTGTGAGACATCCAAATGAGAAGGAATTTGGCTGATTGGGAAGTAGAACAGTGGATGCAGTTGATTTCTATGTTGAATAATACCTCTCCTTTTCCTACTGAAGATGATTGTTGGATTTGGTTAGGGAACGGTGAAGGAAATTTTACAGCTAAATCTTGTTTAAACGCTTTCTATGAACAAGGTGGTTCTGAGCAGAATCAAGTGAATTAGGATAAGAATATTTGGTCTGGTTTAGCTCCTCCAAGGGTGGAATTGTTTGTTTGGCAACTAGTGCAACATAGAGTACCGGTTAAAGAGGAGTTAGCAAAGAGAGGTGTTGCAGAGATTGTTGACCAACGTTGTGTTTTGTGTGGTAGGGAGGTGGAATCAGTTTCCCATCTATTTCTGCATTGCAGGGTTGTGTGGGGTCTGTGGTCCTCCTTCTTGAAAATGTGGAATGTGTCATTGGTGACTCCAAAGTGTACCATGGAATTTCTAATTTTGTGGGATGATTTTATGACTAACTCTTTGATTTGGAAATTCATTCCTAGGGCAGTGATGTGGTCAGTATGGAAGTGTAGAAATGAGATTATCTTTCAGAAAGGAAAGTTGGATTTGGTCAGATTATCTTTCATTGTTAGATTTAGAGTGGCTTCCTGGTTTAGTGCCCGTTTCAAGGATGTGGGTATTCCTCTAGATTCTCTAGTAGGTGATTTGAAAATTACTGATTCGATTGGTAGATCAGGAAAGGATTGCTCTCAACCTGCTTGCTGGGTTCCTCCACCGGAGGGGTTTCTAAAGTTAAATGTAGAAGGAGCGATGGTTTCGGGTTGGGAAAAAAGAGGTATTGGTGGTCTGTTTCGAGATAGCAGAGGTCTATTACTTCAGTGGTTTTCTGAAGCAGTAGGGGGTGGTCCTCCTATCTTGGCAGAGCTGTTGGCTATCAAAAGAGGGATTTGTCATATGGAGGAGTTGGATTTTGTCGCAAATCAGAGAGTTATCTTGGAATCAGACTCATCTAACGCTCTGAAGTGGATCCAGAATCCGGGTTTAAGCCCTCCTTTGCATCTATCCTTGGTGAAGGATATAGTTTCGCTTTTGATTGGAAATGATATTATATTTAGGCATATTTCAAGGGCGGCAAACTGGGAAGCTGACAAACTTGCTAAAGATGGGATAGGGTGATTTTTGGTTATTGTTGTGTTGTTTAACAGGAATTGTACCTCCCTGTTTGTTGGATGTTTTGTGTTAAGTTTTATGTTCTTCTGTTGGAAGTGTAGGAGTTTGTTCAATCTTGTAATCTAGTTCTTGTGAATAAAAGTTTTCTTGGCTCTCTTTTCCTCCTTCGTTGTTCCTCCATGTTACTCGCATAACATGGAGGGATTGAAGGAGGATTTTAATGAGGCCTCTTTCTATCCAAAAAAAAATAATCATTATAATTAACTGGTCCATTAAATTAAGTGTAAGTGGATCACTCAAATTATAGTCTTCAAGTCTAATAGGCTAAGCTAAATGCTCAATTAAAGGTTTAATTTTTCAAAATGGTTGAATGAGAGTAGGAGTATAAATGAGCCGGGCTTGAATAAATAAGGTTGTGTCCTAGTTCGTTAGTTTATTTTTAAAGGTTTTCATGTTTTCTTTGTGTTCGTTTATTTCTTTTTGAAGATGTTCGTGTTTGTTTATTTCTTTTTGAAAGTGTTCGTGTCCGTTCGTTTAGCGTTCGTAAACATGCTCGGTTATATGTTTGTCAACATGTTCATTTAGTTTTGCGAACATATTCGTTTAACGTTTGTTTATATGTTCGTGATCATGTTCATTTAACATCCGTGAACATATTCATTTGTAAGTTAAAAAAGGTAAAATTAAACCACTAGTGCTTAAACTCCTTAAGTTTCATAGTTTAAACTTCAAAATTTATCATGTGTTAATTTAGTCCCTACATTCATCAATATTTAAAATGTAAACAAATAAAGTAAATAAGTTTCTAAACAAACCTATAAACGAGTCATTAAACGAACTTGTTCATGAACATAAATGAACTAGCCATTAAACGCGTTGGTGTGAACTACATTTAGTTGCATGCTATATTGTCATGTTTACATTAGAATTTAGATTGTGTGGAGGAAAATTATTAGCAATTTATCACATTTGTAATCAGGACGAATGTAAGATTTTATGTTAAGTGAGAAATTTCTAAAATTTTAGGAGGGTTGAATTTATAAAATTTTAAGGACGAAAACAAATTATCAATAATTTGTAAACATCCCAAACCTCAAATGGGTTAGATTTAAAATCAATTATTTGAATGTGCAATAAACATTAGTGGTTGAATTACAATCAATTTATAGCAACGGAGGTATTTGTGAATTTTAATCAAACTTGTGAATGTGGACAATGTTTGTCTTAACCAATTTAAGAAATGGATAATAGAACAAGTTTCGGATGTGTTAGTGAAAGTAATCATAAAATATATTATTAGATAGATTCCCACGTCTCTCATACAAACTAAAATACAAAAGTAACTGAAACTTATATGAAATTGAAAATTGATTGGTCACACAATAATAGTTTAATTAAGCATGAAGTAAGTTACCTTAATGATTAAATGAATGGTTGTCATTCTTAGAGATTTTAGAGTGGTGCCACTACAAGCTCTGCCAAATGGCGGAGCCACGGATTGGTCAGTGTCCACTCTAAAATTTGATTTTTTTTCCGATTAGTTACTTATTTTATTGATGTTGTCCAACTTAGAATTTTTCGTGCACACCCTGAAATCTAAGTTTTATTCGATTAGTTATTTATTTTACGGACGATGTCCACCCTGAAATTTTATTTATACATGTCCCATTTAAAACTTTTATGCTATTAACATATATATATATATATATATATATATATATATATATATATATATATATATATATATATATATATATATATATATACTTATCTTGAAAAATATAAAATCCGTCACTTACTCTGCCCATTCAGCCAATTGCTTAATAAAGAAAATATTATGGACAGCTAGGTTCCATTGCTACCAACCATTTCTAGTGGTCTTTTTTTATTTT